ATTTAGCTGCTTCTTTTAGATCTTTGCTGGCCGCCAAAAGGCACGCGTCATCTTCATATTGATAAACGGAACATGAGGGCTAATATTTAAAATGGCTGAACCGATTGTTAAGAAACTTCATAAACACAAAAGGAGCACTGCTAGGATGTGTATTTTTTATAGGGTGGGATGACAAACGAGTCCACACAATCCACCTGATAGTAAGTGGTTGCTGTAGCCCATATGCATCTACATCTATCCTCGATTACGAATCAAAATGCAGATGCGTTGTAAGCCGTGAAGACTAAGATGGAATGCCCCCTTTGCAGTAAAAAGTGAATCCGGTTCTCTACACTCACCATACGAAACACAGCAGCATTAACCTCCCTAGCCTCTAGTGGTCTCATGAGACCGCGGTCATATTCCGTCAAATCCCTAGCGGTCTCACGAGGTCGCAACCACCCACAGCATATTAACCCTTAAGAACTTATATATAGAGACCACTTTTCTATAAAGAAGTTTAGCATTATATAATCAATATGTATTTTCTATCCCCTAGTGCAATAAAAAAACTGTTATTTTATGTATATTTATTTATAATCTACGTTCACTTCATACGCCATTTTCACGTGAATGTTATTGTGTTGATTTTTGGATTTTTCTAGTGTTTTATGTGTGTGTTTTAGGTATTTTATTATCAAATTGTAATGAAAGTATTTGTGTGAATGTACTTTATCTTTTTACGTTAATAATTTTGAGTGGTATATATTGAAATAATTGTGATTTTCACGCTGCCTACATTCGCTTGGTATGTTTTCTTTTTGTTATCTAAATACAGTAAAATCTTTTTGTAATGATGTAAAAACTGACTTTTGTTTAGACCACAGAATAGAGATTTTTTATGGATTCAATAATGCCAAACTTCTTCATCGAAAAGTAGTCTCTAAATATAAGTTTTAATGGTTTTAAGTGCTATGGGTGGGTGCGGTCGCATGCGACCGCTCGAGATTTGCCGAGCGCATGCGACTGCATAGGATTTTTATGGCGCTTGAAGGGTTATGCTACTATTTTACGCTGGTATTCTGTGAGTATTCGTGCTACGACTATACTACTAAATTAACTGCAGCATCGCTCTTCTAATAAGTTATATTTTGTTCAAAAAACTTGCGAGATTTTTTTGTGAAACATAAAAACGGATAAAATAAATGATCATTAATTATTATTTCGAAAAATATCAATGACGCTTCATTGAAAGATCCCAAACTAAATCTGAGAGTTGAATAAAAGTATTTTTTTAAATTTGTTGCACTGTAAGTCTTTAAGTGCGACAACGCCTCTGAGCTTTATTTATTGAGAATGGATCTACATAGGCGTCTATGTGCCAAAGCGCGTACTTGCGCCAGGTGTACCATATGTAAACGAATAAACATTACTTTCATTAAAAAAATCTGCCAAAATGATTAGTACAATACGACTACCTTAAAAAGTGTCAGATAAAATGATCACTGGTTGTAGAATCTATGTACACATTTTGGTTTTGGGTTAGGAACCATACCTCCCATCTTACCGCATAAGTGTTATTTTTGGCATGGACAGGTTAAATGTGAGTAGTTGGATATCTTAACTGTCTTAGCGTCGACTTCATAAGCAAATTTTAAGGTTCCGTAGCGCAGTGGCTTAACATTGAACTGCGGCAATGGGGGTCGTGGGTTCGAATCCCGCACGGAAAAAGTATTTATATTATCAAAACAAATTATTGTTCTGGGTCTGGATATTTGTCTTTGTGCAATTTATGTTTGTAAACTGCCTCCACAGGCTGTTTGTAAACAAGACAAAATCCTAGTGTAGGGTGTTGTAGTGGAGGCGTTTAAAAAAATTATACCAAAAAGAATAACTATTATATGGAATTTATAGACTTTTTGGCATCTGACAAACCACCGTCACATACTTCTCACACCTCCTGTAGGAAATCCTCATAATTGATATCTGATTTCACGTTTAATAATATATTATGATGCTTTCTATTTAAAATATAGATTTTCTCGGGATTCATTTAGGCCAGCCATAATGAGAAAAAGTGTATAGCAGTATAATTTACTACCTCAAGAAGATATAGCTGTAAAATGTGACAAGAAAATTTTAAAAATTCAAAAATTTTAAGGTTTTTAGGTTTTCATGATTTTACTTTTTTATTAAAAATTTCATTATATATTACAATGATGCTGACACTGACACTGACACTTGCAATTGACGTATTATTTTTGGCGAAAGCCCTGCAACCAATGCCAAAATGAATAAAAAATATTTTTCATTTTTTTACCAAGAATAGGCTGATGTGGTTAGTTTTTTATGTAGTATATGAATTGAATCTGCGGGCTGTGGCACCGCATAATACCGAACCGACGCGCCTGTGTAAATGTAACAGGCTTGTACAATTTAGGCTTTAATAATGTTGAACGCATTGTGCATGTCTATAGTTCAGGATTTAATTAACCTGCATCTGACAGGCAATATTCCTGAGGGTTGGAATTTGTGTAACCAAATCAGTATTGGTTCCCATATAATAATTTCAAATGCTCACTGCCGGTCCATACGGCAAAATGGCAGTTGAATAGAGTGAAATAAAGACTTAATTTGAAGGCTTAGATGATATCAGAGACTTGCTTTATCCAGAGAAAACACTTCTAAGACAACAGTAAGTATTTATAAAATAAATGTTTTATATATAAAGTCTTACAAGAAAGATAACTTTTACTTATCTCTCAAAAAGTATGAAATTTTTACTTAAACAAAAATATTTACTGAGGATTATTATATACACTACTAAATAGTACATGATTGATAATAATTAATAACTACTGGGAATGAGTGTTTCTATGCTATTGTATAACATATTACATTATAAACTATTGTTTAAAAAAATCCGCTGGGTTTCTTGCTGGTAATTCCCAGGCCAGAGGTTTATTTAGAACTAGTGGTAAAGTTTAAATGTCTTTCAATATGTATTTTTAATCCATATTTTATAAAAATTATTCTATTTTATTCTACTCTATTCAACAAAATCTATGTATCCATGATGTATGGCCAAGCTATTTTTTGAAAAATAATCCTGTATGTAGGATTGAAAACTAAGCCACGGTTTAGTCTTTAATCATACATACAGGATTATTTTTCAAAAAATAGCCAAATTTTAAACTTAAGTTCAAATATAGAAATAATAATATACCGATACTGTAGTTTTTGAAAATACGAATAAATAAGGCTTCTACTTTTATTTGAAATCATCCCAAAAACAAAATGCTTGCGCAGTGAAACCAGATTTAATAATGCATTACCAGGCGTTTTGAATTAGAAGACAAAACGGCCAATTGAGACTTTTTTTACGTAATTTTTCTTTACCTTTGTCTGTATTAATAATTCTAAACATTCTCTGAAAATTTGGCCGGTTATTGCAAAATAATCATGTGTTTCTTCGTCATATCGACAGTGTGGCTAATCAACCGATGAGGAGAGATAAGAAGTCCATCTGGGCTAGCAATACTTGCACTGCTATTTCTCGGTCCGAAGTGTATAGAGAGCCAATATAATACAGACTACAGAGATCTTAGTCCTGAGCGCTGACAGCACCAGATGTATAGTCTCCTTTTTGAAATTGGCATCAGGTGTCCATGAGCTCAGTAGTCACTTGCCTTCAGTGAAATGTAACTTCCAAATATGTATATATGTAAATGAAAATCCTCGTAAATGATACTAAGTATAACTTCTTTACTTACACTAAATTCAAATCAGTGTCCGGAACAGGAATTTATTCGCATGACAACATCAAAGCGACATCAAGTGCAATCTAAAAACAGGATCGTTGGGAAATATAATGTAAGCGATAACTTCCAGAAGCTCTCAAATATTCAAAAAAGCTTTACTAAGCGAACATTAATATATCGTACTTTTGTGTCAAAAGTTCTTTTTTACGGAAATAACTTCTGAAATCAAAAATGTTAGACATTTGAAATTTGAATTTACCAAAGGTTTTTGTATTTTATATAATATACAATATGACCCTTTTTGAAATAACGGACTTTTAAGTCATGAAACTGGAGCTTATATTATCGGGTGAAATAATTATAAAAAAATATTCTTTTTACATTTTTTTACAGATATTTTAATTTTATTTCATAGAAATAAAGTTATCATTCGTTTAATTAAGATTATTTTAAAAATTGAGAAGGAGATGGACAGTAGCATCTTCCTGATAACAACTCAAAAATTTACAAAACTGCGGTTGCCAACTCGCTTGCCAAGCGGGAAACTATTACAAAATCTCCCCTATGAGGCAATCTATGGGGAAGGCCCAGGTTTGGCGTTGGATTTTTATAGGCTCTAATGGATGGATAATCGATTTCATTTCAGTAGTATCAAAACTAGGTTCGTCATATATAATTCCACTCCATTTTACTAACTTTATCGATAATTATTTTGCTGTTCTGATTAAGCAATATCTGAAGTTTATTGATAACACTTAATGTCTACCTCGGATACACCCTGATTCTGATAGGATAATATAAAAACAACTTTGCTTAGACGAGCAAATATGCTCTACGAAAGCGCTGAATATGCTAAAAAGGTATAACCCCAAGAAAACTTCACAAGTGGGATTATATATATATGTGTATATATATATATATATATATATATATATATATATATATATATATATATATATATATATATACGTTTTGATTGGTGTTTCCGGTTTCACTTATACAATAGATATTGAATCTGGTAAAGAGAATGTTGTCAGAGCCAACGGACCAGATTTAGGAACTTCTTCCAATGTAGAAGTCATTACGATCAATATAATATCGCGTACAATTCCGCGACATCAAAATTACTGGCTCTATTTCGATAACTACTTCACTCCCTTGCATCTTTTGGAATATTTAACAAAAGAAGTTATTCAAGGGTTACACACTATTAGAAGAAATAGAATTCTTGATAGAAAGACGTTGTCAGAAAAAGCGATTATGAAGAAAGATCGAGGATATTCTGAAGAGTACGTAGCTGATATAAACGGCGTCGGCGTGTCAACGGTTTTATGGAAGGATAAAAAGCTTGTTACATTGGCTTCCAAATTTGCTGGACTAATTCTTATAACCGAAGTCTGGAGATACCACAAAAAGAACTTAAGATACATAAACGTCCTGCGTCCTAATGTTGTAGGCGAGTATAACCGTCGTATGGGCGGTGTAGGCCTTGGAGATAGCATTATGGGCATCTACGAGATAAAACTGAGAAGCAAACGTAACACCCACAGGCTCCACAAGCTGTCCGCCAAGATCAAGTCGTTTGCTGGCCGCAATAGGCAGAAAAATCCGTTGTAAGTTCCTAAGTGTGCTGGATTCACTCTTACGGTGTGTGATAAGCTGATAAGTGTGGCGTAGTTTTAAACAATACCAAAAACAAAAATCGTTTCAGGAACTTCCTGTTCGATGAATTTTAACTGATTGTTTACCGTTGTAACTCATTGTTCCCTATTAAAAATTACAAAATTTTACAAAATACGTATTTTATCAATTTTAAAATCACATTCAATTCCATGAAAAGTATCTAATTTTAAGGTTTTGAGTTATAGAGGGTTTATAGATTCCACCCAAGTGAATAGGTTTAGACCCAGAGCGGGTCACTAGTTATATAATATATAAACTTTATTTTAAAATTAATGTACCTACTTGCGTACACAATTCTTTTCAAATATTTTCCCATTAAAGAAAAAATTCCAATTAACCGAATAATATAACGTTATAACGGTGTACCGTTATAAGCGAATTTTCGCTATTGGTATTGTGCATATTGACGGTACGGGCTCGATGAGTCGCCATTTTAATTTCTTTTTTAGCCACACGAACTGTACTTGATATAGTATGGTTGATTTTGTAAAAATTACCCGTATTTAAAAATTACCTGTATAGCGATTCAATTAAAACTTTTTACGGCAATTACCAGTGAGGTGGAGAAATGTATTTTTACATTCAAGTTTTGATATCGTGGTTTACGTGCCGATCAATGCGGTTCGTGAATATTGCTTTTTGAAAATGAACGGAACGTAGGCAAATCTAACTGACAATGAACATTGAACAGTCGTATATTCCGAATTGCCATATTTTATTTTATTTTTATTTTCTTTATTTTTTTATTCTATCAAAGTCACTTTTTTGTGGTAAAGTAAAATTAAAAGTTTACGAACTAGCCTAAACTTTATCTAATATTGGTTACCGTACTAAAATTATCAAAGTAAAAATTTTATTTTATATTGACTGTGTGTAGAAGAAGCTTCCCCGAGGGCTGCACTCCTATATTATATCCAGGCATATTCTAAAAAAATACGCGAACTTTTTATCGCAGGATGGCGAACAACTTTTTGTTTAAATCATTTTGTTGGATTTACTTTTTTTAACTTTTTGGTGTATTTTGGAGCACCGATTGGCCCTTCTGATGTCTGTGACCATGTTTTGTTCCTTTTTTTATCTAGCTTTGAGATTAGCATTAAAATTTCCATATTAGTTGTTAAATGCTCGACTTTCTCATTAAATGATGATACAGAAATCTATTACCGCACATTTACATCGAAATACGACGCCATATGTAGGGTATGTTTGTTATTGCTCAACACGTCTTGCTCTCAAAGTGACATGAATCCTGTTTCTGTCTCACCTATACCATTTAGGGCTTCATCATAATATTAATGTTTTACGCAACCTCAATATCCCGTTTTTCAGCGTGCTTCAATCAACTATCTAAATTTTGTAACTAGCACAGGATACTAATCCTACGAGCTACAGGTTACAGTACAGCCAGGTTGCATATATTTCATTAATTATACTTTTTGAACGCCGTCTTATGTTGAAAATGTATATCTTTTTTCTATCTTTTTGTAAAGAGGAGTTATGTTAACCGTCCCGCTTGGTAATTTTTTTGCCATCGTGCACGTTTGAATCCGCCATACGTCGTCGGTCTTATACAGCCATCTATCGGAACCCATTAGATTTTACAGGAATTTGACCTAGTAGCCTTTTACGATACACACGGGACGAAATGGGAAGCAATGGAGACTATTTTATTGTGTACGTTTTACTCTTGATCTATTAGATGTATAAACTATATATTTATAACTTATATAATATCAAACATCTCACCGCAGATAAGATCAATATAATCTTTGAACTTCTGAAACGCTTTGGTCGTACAGATACGAGCGTAAGTAAATACGGGCAACGGAAATTCGGTCAACATTAGTTGGATGTTCTGTCTGAGCGAAAAACTTGCGTGATAAAAGGTATTAAGTATTTCTTTTTGGCTCCGTCCCCATAGTCATTTTAATGTGCAGTTTTATTACTTTATAAACTACATCTTAGAAGCTTACAGGATACGGCCGTTTTTTGAAATTTCAAACTTACCGGGTAACTTAGCAGTATATAACAAAAATCGTTACGACAGTGATTATATTTAAGAGACCGAACCTAATAACCAGGCCGAACTGTGAGGAACAGCTTTTGTAGTACAACGCTTTAGGCTCTGTGCCCAATGTTGTATTTTCTAAAATAGAATATGGGTGACAAACGAGCACAAAGTGAGCACACACCTGATGGTAGGTTGATACTGTGGTCATTAGACATCTACATTTAAACTAAGATGGAATGCCGCGATTCCAGTAAAACGAGTATCCAGTTCTCTACACTCACCATGCGAAACACAGCAGCATTGAGCTGTTACGTTGGTATTCTGTGAGAGCGTGGTCTTTCCCCGGTCGATCCGACCCATTCGACATAATATGGCTGGAGTGTGGCTCTACCACGTAGAAGCAAATATTTTGAGTATGTATAACATTTGACATTCTTGAATGAGATACACCACTCGATTAATAAAAAGAAAGTTAAAAACTAAAACCATACAAGTATAACAACTAAAAAAAGGTATACACAGGCAAATGTATAATTTTTTTATGAATGACAACTAATCAAGAAATTACTACAACCTTTAACTGAATTTACCTTTGTCATACTACGCGATAATGTTTCTTCAAATTAAAGTTTTAGTTTGAATTAAACAATGATTAGCACTGATAGCTCAGAGGGTAAGCACCCACCGTAAGTTTACGCTCGCGAGCAACCAAAAGTAGATCAGGCAAAAATGTAATTGGTAATTACAAATTTAAGTAACGATAATGTGAGTACAGCAAGATGATGTCTGAGAAATACAATAAAATATTTTAAGACATGTGAAGTCCACAATTACGCAATAGTTTAATTGCTAAAATCCTTTCTCGAGAATAAGAATAATCCTATAAATTGGAAGGACCGTTTTTCTGTCTATAACTCCGTCTGGGTAGGCGCCACACCCTCTTTACAATGCAAGTTAGCAGTGCTTGCACTGCTGTGTTTTAATCTGAAGAGTACACAGAGAGACAGTATATTAACTACAGGATATGGAGCTCTCCATCTTTGTCCGCAAATATGACAACGCATTTGTAACTTTATTTGGATGCCTATACATCCTGTATATGGGCTGCAATTACCCTTAAGCTTCATGTGGACTGTAAGTTCGTTTGTAACTTCAGTCTTACGAAAAAATTATCTATGCTTAGCAGTTACACAATTTTGAAGTAATTTTCTGTAATTATTAAAAATTCTAAATGATTAGAGCGTAATAAGTTCTTTGGTATAATATTTGTCACATTCATAATTATTATACAGCGTGTGAGAAATTCTCTAAGTTGTATCTATTTGTGAATATTTGTCCTTCAATAATGATAAGAATAAGTGCACGGAGTTATATCGAGTTCTATAGAACACTTGAGTATATGAATATGTAAGCATTCTGGCCTCCATCAGAAGTGACAAGTTACATTATACCAGACTCTTCAGCTTTATAATGCGAGATGTCCAGCTACCTTGTACATATAAATAAAATTTCAGTTTCTGTCTGTAATATTGAAATATATATCTGAGCTGAAGGAGTTATTTGCATACCATACACATGTGTATAAACATTTTTAAATGTCTGTCTGTCTGTCCGTCTAGCAAAATTTTCGGAATAGAATGAACCGAAGCACGTAAAGGCTTAGCTATCTTGTATTACCCAATACTGAAAACAAAGTTTAAATATCGAATATTCCGGTAACAAACCGAACGAAAGCCTACTTCGAACATATACGTCCCAATACGAAAGCAACATAGTAGTCAAGGCGCCAAAAAACATGGTTTTCATTTTTCGCAAAAGTCACACACGTGCCGTAAGGTGCTCTTCTTTTGAGATAAAAATGTATTTTAACGTCGGCATTAAGACATGAAGTGTAAAAGAATTAAAGCACCGACTTTGGGATGTGAAATTATTTTATTGTGTTTAGTACTTTGGAGTAGGCTTTTAATTTTTATTAACATTTAATGGAATATCATTATCTAAATAATTGCTTACAAAACTTTATCTCTTATTATAAGGATTATTGCAATTTAAAAAAAATTGAACCTTAATGATTTTTTTTAAATTTTATATGCGAGCAGCCCTGAAGTATAACTTATTTAATAAATAATTTAATAAATAAATATTCATCGAAATCGGTACACAATTTACAAACATATCGTGTAAAACATACATACAAATACGGCAAAAATATGTGTAAACTCAAACAAAGCGGGTCCGTTGGACAACGCGTAATTTGTATAATAGTGTGTGTACACGCCAGGCGCGGTCGACGCTGATTACTTGGTAATCTGCTTTCGGGTCCACTAAGCAAGTAATTGTTGGGAGATTAGTGAAATTAGTAGCAGGACAATAAAACGGCTTAATAGTGGTCTTCCTTAAAATGCTTTTGAGCATTTGAATTCCAAATTTAGTAATATGGGTTGCTATATTTGACTTTGTCGGTTTACTATAAAATTTAGAAAAAAAACTACACTATGATAAGAGTTGGTAGCGTTGCAATTAATTTGAAGGTTGGAGTCTTGCTAAGATTAATAATGTAATATCCTCCCGATTGATTTTCGGTCACGACGGTCAGTCGCAACGGAGGACAGGATTATATGTTTCAGTGGTAGAGCGATGCTGCAGCTATATTATGATTATAGCACGAATGTAAAATACTCAACCGCGGTAGAACTACGCTTTTATGGAGTCATCATTCATCATCATCATTACAGCCCTTCACAAGTCCACTCCTGAACAAAGACCTCCCCCAAAGACCGCCACAAAGCACGGTTCCGAGCCACCTGCATCTATTGACTTCCTACATGTCTTACCATATCATCACCACATCTAGTAGAGGGATGCCCTAAACTTCGGCTGCCAGTACGAGGATGCCACTCGAAAATTTTCCTTCCTCATTGGT